CTGCGTGCAGTGTGGAGGGCTAGACACAGAGCAGTGCTGGTGTCATTAAGCCCAGCTAGGAGGTGATCACAGGCGCACAGGGAAATCGGGGGCTGGGATACTGATGGCAAGGTTGGCCGGAGGTGGGTAGGTCTGGAGATATAAGGCATAACCAATCCCACTGATGCATGAGATGTGGCCTTAGGAGACCGGAGAATAGGACCTGATCCCCTGCCATGGTGGCTGGTGCTGAAGCTGTCCCTATGTGTGAAGTACAGGTGACAGAGCTAAGCCACAGGTGGAGCTGTGGGTTGATTCCCACGTAGATGATAACAAACTGCTGACCTTTGAGGGAGGGCAGAGGGCTCCTGAATTACCTTCTATGAGCAGCATCTCAAACAGCTTGGATAATACTTTCTTGTATGACATACATATATTTAATCAGCCACATGGGGTCTGTTAGCTTTCATTAATGTTTTGTCGTTTAAGAAACTCAACAAGTATTTGCCTACGTGGGAAAAGTGTCCCATGGTCAGTCAGTGCATCTGGGAACTGTTGGTTTAAAAACAATGTGGAGTTCTTTACTCAGACTCCTGCAAGCCTGAACTGTGCTGCTGTGCACCTGACTTTGCAGCAGGCAGCTGCTGTGGGTACTCCGTTTTGTTTTGTTTTTTGTTTTTGTGTTTGGCGATGCTGGGAATTAGATCCAAGGGTGCTCTACCACAGAGCTACATCCCCACCCTGACTGACTGATGGATAGATTGAGACAAGGTCTCACTGTGTTTCCTAGGTGGGCCATGAGCTTGTGATCTTTCTGCTTCAGCCTCCCTCAGCACTAGCATTACAGACTTATGCCCCTGTACCTGGCCACTGCTGTGGGTTTTTTGTATCTTCAGTAAACCTTAGACTCTTTTGGTAGTGATGAGTGCTTTCAGGGCTAGTGACCTCAGAGCAGTTTTGTGAGATACCAATTTATAAACCAAAGCCGTGCCTAATTTTAACACATAGTTCAGAAATTGAATTACAAGTTAGCAGGAAAGAAAGTCTGTGTCCGTGATGCACAGTGGTGAGAATACAAATTGTTACAAATAGAACTGTTACCCCTCACTGCATTACACTCCCCAACTGCGATAGTGAATTGTTTTAATCTGATCTAATTTGCTTGTGTTTTCATGACTATAAAGAGGCTCAGCACCGTGCTGTGTTACAGATAACTTGCTGCTGCTCTAGTAAATACTTCCCCAGGTCTTTTGCTTGGCTATTGGGATTTCACCTATTCTTACAAAGAAAAATGGGCTATTTTTATGAGCTGATATCAACACAGGACCTGATGTATTTGTACCATTTATTCTCTGAGTTTCCTGTTTATCATTTACTTTTAAAGTTATGCTCTTTTGAACATTTAAAAGTTTTGCATTTTGCAAGTCAGTTCTTTTTTGTATTGTTTTAAAGCTTAGAAATATAAAGCTTTATTTAGATACTCACCAGTCACTTTTTGGTTTATTGTTGCTGTTGCTACTAACATAAACTCTTAATGCCTTTCAGATTTCAACTACTTTATTTTACTACACTCCTCCCCCCAAAAAGGTTTTGTAGCACAATTTTCTGAATATTTTACCTTGCCAAGTTCATATGTTATACCTGTGCAGTTTTTTTTGGTTTTTTTTTTTTTTTTGGTTTTTCTCCGGTATCGGGAACCGAACTCACGACCTTGCACTTGCCAGGCAGGCACTTTTGCCGCTGAGCTAAATCCCCGGCCCCTTGTGCAGTTACTAATTTCTTTCAAAATGATTTCCATTTCTTAAATTAGCAAATTGACATGTGTGGCATTAACCTGTATTTCAGTATTATATTTCAGAATATTAGATGATATAAGCACATGTGATGATACTTTGAAGAAAACTATGAAATTTGTAAACTATCCTACACTTAATTTGATACTGTGATTTAGAATACCCTTTGTGAAGCTCATGGGACAGATCACTAGAGAGAAAAAGAGTTGTGTGTTTAAATATGAAAATTAAAGTGAAGGAAATGTGTAATAATGTTCATAATAGCAGAGGCCACATTATAAATATTGGGTTTAATTCTTGAAGTCTACAGCTGAAGAAACTGAGGCCTGAGGGTGAGAAGTTGTTTCCCACAGTCTGACACATGGGATGGGCAGAGCCTAGGACACTTTCCAGGCTGTTTGTCACCTGACCTGTTGTAGTTGTTGTCTAAGGACGTGGCTTGAGGTTTTGCAGAGACCTGCCTCTTTTTCAAGAAAGAATCTGTACGTTATCCAAGGAGTCATAGCATCCCGAAAGGTGTAGGCAGCTGGCAAGTTTGAATTCTCCAGGAAGCGTGACGTTGGGCACAGTGAAAGTGAAGAAGTGTTCCTCTCCGGCTAGAAATGTAGGTGCCGTTGCTAAGGGATCCCCCGTGTGGGTCAGAAGGTAAAGCCCCGCTTATCTGTACACACCCCTGGGTTTGGCCAAATGCACAATAAGCTCAGATTTTCTCATTCTTTCTCTCCAAGTTCACATGGAAATTTCCGAACAATCCTTCTGCTGCAGCTGCATTTTCAGTCCGTGTTGGTTTACGTTCAAAGCCCTCATGGCCCGGTCGGGAGCCAGCGTCCTCTGCAGAACAAGCAGTTGCTTGTTCCCGGTGCAGGGCCCTTGCCCTCCAGTTTCCCAGTTTTGCGGCAAGACCACTGATCCCTTCTCCAGACCCCCGGGAGCCACTTTTGTGGCAGATTCCATTTGGTTGCACAGGGCCTGGAGGAGGAGTGCTGGGGGCCACTTGGCACAGCCCAGCACTCCCCCACGTTCAGGGCAATTTGCAGACTGCTCTGAGGGAGCCCGAGCCCAGCCCCGAGCAGGCCGCTCCTGTTAACCCCATTGTCTGACGCTAGTTCACCTTTTCCAGCTGACCTGCCTGCGAGTGGGGAGATGTGAAAAGTTAAAGACAAAACTGGTTTCTACAGAGCGAGGGGAGCTTTCTTGTACAGAAAGGAAGGAAATACCTCTGTGGGATTTTATTTTTTTTCCCCCTCTCCATCCAAAAAATACAAAGAGACTCTCTGTCTTAAATGCGAATGTCGGCTTTAAATCTTTTAGGTTTGGATTAACTCTGCAAAAGAAAAAAAATCTGACAGGCTTTCAGATATGACGCAGAAAAACTTTTCTCCCTTCAATTCATGTTGTTCATTTGTAAAGCCCAAGGCCATGGACTGAATAGTGGGGGCCACTTGCCCCTCCACTCATAGTTAGCATCACAATGGTCAGAATTAGCAGCCTCAGTCTCTCCAGCACTTTTGCCTTTTCCCCTGTGGACATTTAATTCAAGGTGGTGAAGGCAAGAATAGGTCTTTCTTCTCTTGCCCCCCACATTAAAATATATTAGAAGGAAGCCAAGGAAACATGGTGTTTTTCGGTTACATGCTTTAGAATCGTACCTTACCTTTTACCCCCAGAAGGAAAAAAAGGAATGCAGTGTATTACAGTTGTTACAGTCCCTAGAAAGCTTCCTTCAATCTAAACAAAACCCCTTGAATTGATAGACATTTCCTAGTACATAGTTATTGTTGGTTTTCACTATTGAGGATGTTGGCAAACACGTCCAAGATCATGTTTTGCGTATTAAATAAAGTGACTTTTATGTGAATATTTTTGAACCCTGTTGGTATCCAGAATTGGGTGCTATTCTGTGCAACCCATGTGTCAAAGTTTATTTTCTTCGATTTTACTTTAAATGTTTTTGAAGCTACTCAATCTTATGTAGCAAAAAGCCTTAGTGTCCTAGAACCAACAATCTGTATCAGTAGCCCATGTTAATACAGGAAAAGTTAAGCAGTTTCTGGTCTTCAGTTGAGAGTCAAAGAGAATGGATAATCTGAAACATAATTTAAAATTAGTTATCTTTAAATTTGAAGAAGATTAATTGATTAGAACTATTTATGTGCAATTGTGAAACTGCGTAGAAAAATTAAGCTCTGGGTCATTTTTAATTCCTAAACCATATCTGGTAAAAAAGAAAAGTATCCTGTATGAAAAAGGTTTTAAATGTTCATACATTAGTTGGCTATTATTTAATGAAATTGTAACAGTTCATTTTATGGACTTAAATTGGTCCTGCATATTTATTTTAGATAAACAAATATACTCAAAGAAGTAAAACCAAAACATTTTCTTTGCTCTTGTTATATAACACTGTTCCTTTTAAGTTCGGTGTAATATAATCATAAAGGTTATTTGTTATAATTGCAAACAACTACTAGAATTTTTTCCTTTTTATCATAGAAATATTATCTTTACAGTTTGAAGGACTCTGATATGGCATTTGAAATGGATATTCAATTACTCCTTTATTAATAATGGAATTATTAAAATTATTTTTAATATAGTTTTATCTGGGTTTTACATAGTAATGTTTGGTATGAGTGTAGCAATAACAGGTTTGCATGGAAACAAGTTATATAAACCACTGAGCAAATATTATTACTAACTAGTAGTCAAAAATAATCAAGTTGTTATTTTCAGAGATACCTTAACTATGTCATAATCATGATTCACCTGGGTAATTTTTTAAGTATCCTGAAATATTATACAAAGGTAATTTTCATTTACCAGAATTAATAAATTCAGCTCCTGACATTTATTTTATATGGTATAGTATTATAATTTAAACCAGAGTATATTTTAAGTTTGTTCTAAAAGATTGGTATTCTAACTTATAGAAGATCAAGAGTTTCTTCCTATATAGACCACTATACTAAAAATTTCATGTAAAAATATGAAGACTTGGTTCATGATTAAAAAAATGCACTTTGCTCTCTTAGCTACTTGAGGGCAAAAAACAGATATAACAAATGCATATTTTAACACATTTAGCTTTTAATTCCAAATATTTTCAAAGTTTACATTCAGAGCTACAGAATGTTCTTAAAATTATTTTACTCAAATCATATGCAAACAAAATGTGAATGGTATCGTTCTTAGTATTTGGAGTAATTTTATTGCTGATGATTTCCGCAGGCAGCCATGTTGTTCAGTTCCGGAGTCTTTTGGACAGGTTTGTTGTTTATCCCCGTGGCGTCGTTGCTGCTGGACGTGGTGTACAAAGTGTAAGTGTGCACTGCTCAGTTATACACGCAGAAACACTAATGCATAGGAGTCCTCAGATTTCTCCAGCTGTGACATCAACTCAAACTTACAGAGTTTGCAGAATGGGAATTGGTAATGTTAGTTAATTTTAAATACATAAGAAGAAAACGCATGAGTTAGGAACCAGGAAACTAAATTAGTTTAAAAGACCATGTGAGAAGTAGAGCAGGTACTTTCTGTTCACCTCAGAGAGAAGTACAGTCATTGCACTAGAGAAAATTATGTGAAGGGGTATTATTTTTAGAAATCAGTCCCAAAACTCATACCAGATAGAAGAAAAAATTCTTCTGCCTCCAAACACATACAGTTTAATAGTTTTGAAAAGACAGTTTTTGCTTGCCAGATTCTAAACATAAAGAATACAGAATGGGAGAAACAGAACCTTTACAAGTTTTTCTCAAAGGTTGTAAGTTTTAAAATGTTATCTCTTCCTACAAAAAAAGGTGTCATTAAAGTTAATTACATGATGTTTGGTTAATAACTATGACAGTTTTAATATTATAAATCTGAATCATTTAAGACTTGTACCTGGAATTGTATCAATGCACAGAATTACAGTAGATTTTTAGATTCTGTGGAAACACAACTCTGCTTCCTGTTGTACTCGTCCACATCAACAGCATGCTAATAAAGCAGGCATCTAGTTTTGTAAAACCTTCACACAAGTATTCCCATCCTTCTTTTCCACAGTATCAAGAGGACTGCTTTTAAAACATTAGTAGATGAAGTTCAGGAGCTTGAGGCAAAATCTCAAGACCCAGGAGCAGTTGTGCTTGGGAAAAGGTAAACAACTTATTGTCTATTGTGTATCATTTTTTCCAAGTGAACTTTAATTAACACCTTTTTTTACTAGTGGTTGGAAATAAATAGTAAAACTTTCATTTATCGTCTAACATGGAGCTGTCAGTGTTCCTGACGGATTTTGGAATCAGAGAGGTGTGCGTTCAAATTAAACCTATCAGTTACTAAGCTGTGTGTGGCCATGGTCAAGTTGCTTGTTGCTACTAAGCCTCAATTTTCTTATCAATAAAATAAAGGTGATATCACCTACCTAAAGTGCCATGAGAATTGAATACCATAAAGCATATAACACAGTGCCTGGTGCTTGATGACCATTAAATAAATGGTAGTTACGCATAGTTACTATTAAAATGAAAGAGAAGGAAAAGGCTTTCAGCTGGAAACAATATCAATAATAATAATGATGATAGTATAATATATAATCAAAACTCATAATGTGACATAGGAAAAACTGCCCAGGAACTGCCTTTGTGGTCAGTGTTATTAGGAACCAATTTATATGTCATCTGTAAAGTGGAGGTTGGTGGCCAGCCTAAGCACAGTGGCTTCCTGCTAGAGGAGAAGTAAGTAAAATGGATGTGAGGAAGGAAAAGGTAGCAACTAATTACATTCCAAGCCAAAGACCTGTCAGACTGGCTTTACTGCCGGGACTATTTTGGGAGAATAAGACTGATGTCTTTATTTCAAAAAAGTCAGTACATTTTGTCAACATTGCCAAAGGGGAAAAATTCAGATTTCTTAGATTCTAGCAATAGTTGGTGTGCTTTAGTTCCAAAACACCATGGTATTTTACAAGATGTGATTGAAATATATGGCATTTAATTTTTTTTAATTTATTACACTAAAAGACACATAGCCACTAACTCCTCTCGAACAGGTCCCCCACACTTCAAACACACTTACTCTCTCATTCCTACCACTTTCTGAAGCAGTTCTGGAAGTCCTATTTCGTGAGCTGTGGTATAAAGCTGTGATAGAAATACAGTGAGTGCCGCTGCCGAGTACCATTCAGCAGAAAGGCAGGCTCATAAAAGCATCTGGTGCATCCTCATCCACCTTAGCCTGTGGATCTGGCACTGTGCAACTTCTTGCTCTTCCCCAAAGTCAAAGTGACTGTGAAAGGTAAACATTCTCAATCTGTTTGTGTTGCAGCTAAAGACAGGAAAAAGGGCTTCCAGAATTCCTACACGAAGTGACAAGGATAGAATAGGAGTGTTGGAAGCAAGGGAGAGAACATGGGGGGGGGGTGAATCGTAATGTGTCATTTACTATCATAGTTTTTGATCATCTCACATATGCCTCTCAGACTTAGCACATGTTCTGCCTTGTCACGGAGCAAGTACCCCTCTTACAGATGGGGCAATCCGGTCCTTAGCTTTCAAAACCCAGTTCAGTTGCAGTTTTGCAACTCTTCTTACTTAAAATTGATTAATTTCTGGTGTACTATCTCTGTACTTTGTGTATACTTATGTTCCATTTATTGCAGTGGATTATAATGTGTTTATTTACCCTGTGTGCATTTGTTTCCCTACTAGATTGAGCCCCTTGAAAGAAAAACCTTCTTAGTCATAGCTACAACCCAACACCTAGCTCGGCTCCAGGAACTTAATAGCCCCGGAAAAATATTGTGGAGTAGATGTTAAATGGTCAACAGAATGAACTAAGGGAATGAATGAATAGGAGAGGATGACTGGGTGGTGGGTGATAACGATGACTGATTGACGTGTCAGTAGTGAAATAAATATCCAGTCCCTGCAAACAGAATTATATGTTGTTCTTCCCAAACTAGATAATACCCAATGGAGCAGTCGTTTACTCTGTTACAAATAATGCAACTGTTTAAAAAGATCTTCCGAGTTGATTATGCCCAATTTTTTTATTCTTCCCTAAGTACTACTCTTAAGCTCAAATTATATATTATACAATTGTATCAGAGAAACTATAAATTTTAAGCCATATATGACTATTCACACTTATAGTAATTTCTCTTTTTTCATTTTCAAAAATTGAAATATCCCCTTTATAGTAACTAGCCATCTTTAGTAGAAATAGTGTGCCACTTACCATATTACCCAGAAAATTATATAGTATATTCCATTAAATTTTAGGAGGAAAAGTATGTTTCATCAATCTAAATGTATTACCTTTGAGCTAAGGTAGAAATCACTTTCACTCTAGCATGCTAGAGAGTAATCCAGACTTCTCTCCCGATTGGCTGTATTGTCATAGCTTCTTGCCTATCGGGGACAAAATTACTCAGAAACTGTGAAACCTGTGGCTCTTTGTAACTTTTATTTCAATGTACTGTAACACTGGAGACCAGAAACACTGATAACTACAAAAGGCAAAAAACGCCTGAGTTTAAATTTTTCTTGTCTATGTGTTTTACAGCAAACATTTGCTAAAAAAAAAAAAAAAAAAACCTGAACCATTTGTCCTACAAGTGCACTGATAGTGTTCATTCATCCTACAGTGTAAAGATTTATCTATTTTATAGCAGGACTATTAATGTTTTAGAATATGGGCCTCGCAGATCCCACTTGGATATGACATCCATACGTTTCATGTAACATCTTACCATTTCTTTAAAGAAATGACTTCAAAAGCCAGTGGTTAAAAATAAGGTTTTATGGATACTGTACACTTAGTTGAGAAGGGGCAACTCTTTTGGGGTGTCACCGGAGTGTGTACAAAGCAGTGCATTATATAAACAGGTAAATATAATGAGATTCATAATTGTACTTTTCTAGCTATAGACATTAAACCTCACACCAGTAGTGGCTATAACTACATAGAAGTTCAGGCTGGGATCATCAGGTCAGTCCTCACTGACTTGTCCCTCACCAGCATTTGGCCCATAGCCTTAGCATAAAAGAAAAATGCAGAGAATGGGTGAGGGGTATCAGATCATTTAGTTCTGTGGACATGATGGGGCTTTCTCCAGCCTTTCTTTGTAGTGTTTATCTTCATGAAAAGTAGCTTGAACATTGCCCCCAAACTAATAAGAAGTTGTATTTTTTTCCACATTTACACTGAATTTTCTATCACAAATGCCTTAATGTGAATTGAAGGTAGAGGGATATATCGAATGTTTTTCCTCGGCCCAGTCTCATCTCTGCAATAATGGCTCTTCCTGACATTTGTAAAGAACAGAGACAGCATGAGGAAATGCTTTCTCCTCTAGGACAGAGACTGGGCCTGTTAGAGTCATTGTTCATCTCCCCACCACCACCAGTACCTAGTTCAGTACAGCTTTCACATGAGGGGTACGCATTTAACACTCCACAAATGAATGCTTAGTTACCTTCTGCAAATTCATCGTAATGAGCCAACCAAAATAGTTTGCCAGCCCAATATATGGATAAACGCAAGTTTACCACCCTTCAAAGATCGTGGAAATTACCTGAAGACAACACATTCCAACACGTTCCCAAACTGTACGTGGGTTTTTACCAGCACTAACAAGTTTTTAGTGTTTCCAAAAGAAATATTATATTTAAGCATCGTATCTTTTCACTCACCTCCACCAAATACCTAAGTTGCAACATTTTTGTGGGTTTGGAAATAAGGTAGCAATATTTAAGTGGTAGTTGCTATGTGAGTGCATTAAACAAACTCAGAATTTGCATAACTCGGTATGTAAATGAAAGACTGTACAAGATTGAGGAAAACTGTTAGCCAAAGTGGTAATAGATGTGCTTCTAACTAGAGGGTATCTTTTTTTTCTTGGTTTTCTCACAGTTAAACTGAACAAAAATTGACCTTTTGCTATATTAATGTTAATGTATTATTAGTACATTTTCTAATATGACTTGCTAGTAATAACAGTACAAATAAACATGAGAGACACAGAATTGCATACATTCTAAAATGATGGGTCATTCCCTAAAGGTAGAATGGGGCACTATCGCTGCTTATTTACAAAGCACACTCCTGTATTTATATTCTGGAAGAGAGACTCTCCCCTGTAAGGAAGGACTCATGCAGAAAGCTTGAAGTAGCTAAGGAAAAACAAACCAAAGCCTCATCATTTTCTGAGGAAAGCGGTGGAATGGGGCCTTAGAAATGGATACCCATGTGCAGCCTTAAACATCATTCATGAGCTAAGGTTGAATATAAACCAGGGCATCACAACTGATCCTAACAAAGTTCCGTGTGTGACGATCTCTGTTCTAGCTGCTTTGTATAATACATCCCTTGGGATCTAGAGCAGAAGGGCGGGAGGGACTAGCATTTGTTAGTGCTTCCCCACTGTCGGTCACTAGCGTGACACTCCCTAAACCCTCACAGCCCGCCTGAGAGTTGCATATTGTCCTACTTTTTTTGATGAGATGACCAAAATAGGTTACCTACAGGACCAGCTAATAAGTAGCAGACCCAGAGTCAAACCAAAGGAAGGCTCCAAAGCCCATGCTGTCTCTTGAGAAATGTGCTTTCCTAAGAAAGAGACTTTCTTACTGCTTTTAAAAAATTACATCGTATTATCTATTTTAATCACCATAGCATTTGAAAGATAAAATTCTCCTATCTGCCTTCTTAACACTTTAGCAACACAATATTACAGTATGATGCACTTAGGAAACCTGGGAAATGCCTTCTAGGAAGGCGCAGCTGGCCTAATGATACATTGCCACCATCCAGTCTGCAGTAGTGATTTCAGTTTTAAACACCAGAGGCCTTGTCCCACCCCCCATGCTCTGCTAGCAAAATCAGACCACCTGCTGCTAAAGCTGCCGACTTCCTCCATGCAGTTACATATTTTAGGGTCCCTCTGGGTCCCAGGGACTGTAATGTTAGATCATTTAAAGAGTAGAGTAAGAAAAGTGACTTAGCAAAATGACCCCTTCTCGTTCCTTATATCTGTTTATGTCCCTGGTAGGGGAAAAAAAAAAAGTTTACAACTAACAGAACCACCAAAGTTTTAGAGTAGTTTTCTTGTTTTAATACAGCTAATTCCTGGTGACAATAAAATATGCCTACTAAGTACTAGTTAACATTCCTAAACTTTTAAAAGTATGTGTGTGAGATTACTGCAAATGTCAACATTTCTAAATATTTTCCTTCAGTTTTTGCCTTTGTGTGTCTAATTCATTTCCACAATGAGTTCATTTGCAGGGGATCCTTTTTTGCATATGATAAATATTGTTCCATTTCAAGGTCTCTAAAAATTGGCAAGATGCAAAGCTAACATAACTTCCAGCAACTTAAGCTTTTATAAAGTGAGAGAAAAGATGGAAATTTTTCAACTGAGTTGGTTACAGTTATTAAAACAAAACTGTATAAACATTTGCTGCAATGCATGTGGATTACTTATTTGTTCCTCATGCTTATTAAATTCTTTGATATCATAGCAGTGTTTAATAAATCAACTAATAAAGAAATGGCCTGATTGGGAAGATTAGTGATGTTTGTTAAATTCATTTCAGTATTACTCAAATAGTTAAATTCATTTCAGTATTACTCAAATTCATATATTCAACCTATGTTTAAGTTCCTACTATTTAAGGGACAGATCTAAGTGCAATAATGGGGAAATGTATGATTTCTTTTAGAAAATGCATGATTAAGTATGTGGGTTTGTATCTATGGAGACATTCTAAACATTTATGGAAAAATATTTTTCTTGTTATTTTAGCTAGTAAAATTATATTGTGAAATCATTATTTTTAAAATCAATTGATATATTTTAAACTATTAGAGTAGTAATAAAGTTTTTCTAACTAAAAAGTCCATAAAATTTATTATTTGTATAGTTTTATAAATTCCTTTAACATAACTAAAAATATTGTTTTGCATGAAAGTATGTGCAAAGTGTGAGAACAATAATAATTAGAGGATTTTTTTTTTTTTTTTCTAAAAATGCTACACTAAGGATATACAGAAGAAGGTTTCAGAAGTTAAAATACTGGATGATTTTGTGGGTTTCCTTATTGTGTTGTACAGGTTCTGTGGTTCTATCTGATTTAAATATAACAGCAACTGAAGGAGAACTGAGGAAATCTTACTTTTACTCGGTTATTATTAGGGATAGAGCTCCCCCTTGGCAGTGGGGAATACAGCCTCAAAAGAGTCCATATAGGATTTTAAATCTCCTTTGCTATCTGAGCGAATGGAGTAAAAAGACTCCTGAGGCCGCAGGGCTCAAGGGGACCTTTTGTTTAAGTCCGGCTCTCCTTGCTGCTCCTGCGCCGACCGGGCTCTGCTGAGTTGCTAATTCACCTAGCACGTTTGCACCTGCAGTCTCACCGAGAGGGCGCAGCTGCTCAAGAACGTGTTTAAGAAGAACCACGTGAACCTGTACCGCTCTGAGTCTCTACAGCAGAACCTGCTCCGTGAGTATTTGAGTTCTTAATTTAAATAAACTATCTGCCATTACCCTCTCCTGGCACTTTTCGGAGCAGTGTGTTGACTTGAGGAATATTTAACTATTTTAAATTAACACATAAAACATGTTTGTGTATCTGCAAGACGTTATGCTTAGAGAATCCTTTGGCCACCACCCACTCTTTTTTAATAGATACAGCATTTTAAAATACAGCTGTTTCACATAAAGAAAAACAAGGGTATTTCCACATTCTTTGCTCCTTTAATTCTTAAAAGGAACCGGTAAGATAAATCTTAGCTCTTAAAAGCTGCCTCTGTGTTGTTATCTTTTCTACTTGAATAACTTTGCAAGAGCCTGTTCAGCTTTCATACAGCACAAGGAAACATATATTTTCCCCTCCAAAAATATTTATGAATATTTACAGTTGTAAGAAATTATTAGGTATCTTGCCCTCTTAACATTTCAGGGATCTAAAAGAGGATATAATATATAAAGCCCAGTGGTAAATTTATTTGTGCTGGTAATATATCTTTTGTTTCATGGTGTTTCCACATAATTTATTTGCACTTATATGCACTCATGTTTAATGCTTTTGCTCACTGTGCTCCAAGGGGCCTTTTCTAAAGACACGATCCCCTTGGGGGCCGTTTCACATCCCCACACCCATCCAGCAGAATGAGGACGTCTGTGAGTTCATGTGTAGATGCTGAGAGCTAAAGAGAAAGTTACTCAAAGGAAGCAAACCACTTTTCCACCATCACCAGCTTTGTGTTTATCTCCTCCTTGATTTTTATTTATTTATTTGTTTTTGTTTTTGTTTTTTTCCTGTACTCGGAATCGAACTCACAACCTTGCGCTTGCCAGGCAGGCGCTGTGCTACTGAGCTAAATCCCCAGTCCCTCCTCCTTGATTTTTAATTGATAAATAATTACATGTGTATACCTGCAGAGTATAATGTGCTGTTTAATATATATCCATGGAACAGTGATTCAGTCAAGCTCATTAATGTGTTCATCCTCTCAGCTACACACTGTCATTCATCTGCCTGACATCTAAAAATCCATGGGCCCACTTAACTCCTTCACCCCCTACAGTAGGAGGGAAGCAAAATTAAGTGGGATGGAACAGAGATATGCAACAGGCGGCTGAGGGGACTTGAAGGGTCCTGTCCAGCCTAAGAGGAGCAAAGTTCACGGGATCTACACTGGCAACCCTTAGTCATCCCACTCTCCATTTTGCAGCTCGTCTCTGTCTTTCCAGATGTTGAAAGTTAGTGTTTTATGCTTTCAAAGGTGGAAGGGGTGCATGTGCTCCCCAAGTTAGACAATGCGTACTCAGAACTCAGAATACCACTGATTTTCATTGGTGTCGTGATAATGATTTCTGTTTTCCTTACAGATGGGTATGCTTTCTCTCAAGATGAGAATGGAATTGTTTCCCAGTCTGAGGTGATTAGAGCATATGACACCACGAAGCAGAGGCCGGAGGAGTGGTGATGGAAGGGACTGAGAGGCAGGCCCTCCTGTCTCTGAGGAGAGCTACCGCAATCTAAGGTCGTTGCCGCAGTCTGCTGACCAATTCCAGTCTGGTCCATGGAGAGGAAAGGTGGATCTGAGCTCGTCTCGCTGATGGACCTTCAGATTCATGTACATTAGAGACATAAGCACTGTGCAATCACACTATGACACCATCTCTCTCAGATTCCTTAGAGAATTTGCTAAGGCTTTGTAAAGAGGAATTGAAAATGACCTTGTATCTTGCCAGAGTGATTTCTTAAGCTGAGGAGAGGTCAGTATTCTTATACTGTTGATGGGGGACTGTAACTATCAGTTCATTAGCTATACCACAGGCAACCAATGATGGAAAAACTCTAGAATGAAGTTAAGTTAAAGGGACTTTTGATATCCAGACTTAGATTTCAGGATATGCTGAAACCAGCATTCTTAAAGAACTTACTCACCTTACTGAGTATTTCTAAACAAGGCATTATTACGTGTTTGTGTCAAAAACCATCCGATAAATGTTTGCCAAAGAAGTTCAGTAAGTGTATTTCTCATTCAGTAGCCATTTGCCCAGAAATTTTAAGAGAACGTTTACTTCCAGTTCTGCTGTAAGATCTATCTGCATGCTTGACTTTTCAAATGTGAGAGTGACTTGCAAAAATGAATATTTCAAGGCATTTGCTACTAAAATCTGTGATGTCGCACCTTCAGCCTTACAAGTGCTTCTTTGTCTTGTTCAAGTTAGAAGGCACATGTGTTAATGTGACTGTCATTACAATACTGATTTTTAAACTTGCATTTGCATCTCATTCATCTCTGATAGTTTCATCATCCTTTAGAGTTTTCTAAAAATCTGGCTTCTGCTGTGTCTAAATGATGTCATTTTGTCTTAAAGTTTCCCCTCTGAAGAAAATTATGCTTACATATTTATGTGGGGTTTCCAAAGCTTCTGTCTAGATGTTTGGAATAATATGTCGGATAAGTGCATGGGCTTTTGTAATGTACATAGGCTCAGCTTTTGTAATGTGTTTTGGTTCTCACTGCTGGCTCCCACTAGAGATGCCTGCTGATTTACGTAGCATACTCAGTGTTATGGTGGCCGTCCCTTTACTTCAGCCCGAAAATTAGTTCACAGTTCACTTGCATTTATCAAGCTGATCCTCAGATTAGTCATGTGCTACTTACTGGGACAAATAAGGAGTGTATTTTCCCCATTTTAAAAATACATATTTTACTCAGACCTGTTACTTTATAGTCAAGGAAGGCTTTTCATCCTGGGTATGGTTTACTTACATGTTTTAAAACATATGTTCAGTTTAATAATTTTCAGCATTTCCATGACATCGGAAAATGCCTATTTTGCTACTAACATACAGTAAATGGTGAAGGGGATGTTTAAAAACCACAAGTTTTCTATACTATTTTTAAATAATGCTTTCGTTTAAAAAGAAAAAGGAATTCTAGCTTTGAGATATACTTCAAAGATTGAAGCAAACTTTTTTGCCTTTTATTCAAAAGCCTGTTTGCCTTTAAGTGGACTTATCAGCAAACTAGATAGAACTTTAAAACAAAAATTCAGTTAGAATTGAGAAAGGTGACTTTTCCAAATTGCCCCAGGTTTAATCGTTTCACATTCTTTTCCCCTTTTTCTAATCTAGATTTAAAATTTACATATATATATATAATTCCTTTGTATATGCAGCTGGTTACAAGTATAAATCCACATTTTCTGCAAATAACATGAATAATACATACAAGTAATACTAATCTAAAAAGAATAGGGAGTTTATCTTTCACTTCTCAGACTCTTCTCATTTGAGGTTCAGATTAAGAAAATCATGAATCAAGACATCCAGCAAGACTACAGATATAAGGTCTAAGATCATCTTCAAAGTTCTGGAGTTGCAGACTTTGTCTACTGGATGGATCTTCAGAGTACATTTTCCTGGACCTCTAAACGGCGATAGTTGAGGTCAAACCACAAAAATCAGCACGAATGAAGAGAGCTGCTTCCATTTGCTCTCATCAGTTGCATCCTTCTCCAGACTTTTATTGGCAAAATACTATGAGTAAAGTAGAATTGAATTTTCTGACTTAAACATGAAAATAAGTTTTATTTTCATTTTGAAACATGGACTGTTTCGACAGTGCTCTTCAACATGAAAAGAATACTCATAGTTAATCATTGAACACCATGCTCTGAAATGTGATGGATTTATGCCTATTTGTCCATGATCCAATTTTTGAATTATGGACGTTAGGCCAGTCTTTGCTTATCGGGTGAAGGTAGGGCATACGAGGTAAGGGATAACCACTTTACTAAAACTTGAAATACAGCATTAGAGTTGCAGTGACTTTACAGTTTTACTAAAATTAGAGAAAATGCTCTGAGTTTTAATCTTCCTGAATTGGGGAGAATAAAAGACATAGTTTTACTAGGATTAAAACAACCAATCAAAGCGACTTTTACCATTTATTTTCTAAAATAAAGAACACATACTCTTCAATGTAAAAGTTTGTTGTAGAGACTCTGGCAAATGCTAACATAGTTTCTGTATAATGTTTACAATTCAGAAAATACTCCTTGTAATACAAAACCTTCATTCCTTTAGCACTGAAATGCTGGAAGTTGCTTTAATGTTGAATACTGCACAGTGGTACTGAACATGGACTTTCTAAAGATTTTATATATTCATATAGGAATAGATCAGTGGCTCTTGCCCGGGAAGATGTAGAGTTTATTAGCAGGAAAACTGTTTCTCAGGAATGAAGTAAATTTAAAATGCGAAGTGTGCTCCTTCCCTCTCCATGCATTTGTGCTCTTCTTTTGCACTGGGCGGGAAGGGTTAGCAGTGTTGGGAACTCACTGGAAAAGCTTCCCTCAAATTAGGTGCATGTGTATTCTGCTAAATGAAGATAGCCACTTACATGGATTGTACGGTCATTGAGTGGAATGAAAGAGTCCTCTTAATTGTCCAGGGTGGGAAGGAGGGATAAATTACAGAAATCAATCATCATTTATCCTCATCATAAATTTTAACATTTTAATTTTTAAATTCAGCATTCTGAATATCAACTGTGAGAGTCACATGCTAAGTTCTTCTGCATTGTGTGTACTGTATGATATGTATAAAATGTTCTTTCAGAAAAATGAAGGCTAATCGGAAAGTAAAAGATTATATATTCGTAATTTTTAAATTACTTGTGTCGTAAGTATTACAAAGCCACATAATCATTAAGGCTTGTTTTCATGCAATTGCCCTTGATAGTTCTTGGTTTTGAAACTTATTTCATTGACTCTACCTTTAACCTTATAAATAATCATCTGCAAAATTTATCAAGAAAATCCCCAGCTATTTACATCACAATGAGTAGCTGTGGAACTCTTTTTGTAAATTACTTACGGAAACACCATGCAGTTCAGTGCCTAATAAATGCTTTTTAATGATGAACGTTTGTATAATGTCTCTTAAAGTATCATCGTCTGATTTTTCTCACATTAAAACAACTGAAGTCACTTGTGAAACTTACTGATACTTTGCTACATTTTAATTAACCTTCAACAGCTATTAAAGTGGAATGTAAGTTAGATTTTGAAGGAAATGAAATAAATGTTTTCCATTTTTCACCTTGATTTATTTTCTGTTTGAGAGCAGCTGTGTTTTTGATAGGTTTATGGTTTGCATGAATTAATATTTAAAGTGACCCAGGCCAATGCATGACTATTGCTGTAAATCTTGATGTTTATTTCTGCCTTACAAAATTCTATCATGGCCTACCTGGAATTTAATATTCAGTGGGCAAATTAACTGGTCCTCCACACGTCTTATTTTTAATAAGTAGATTATTTTACAAACAAATTTGAACAAATTTAATTGAATCTTTGTTTAGCTTGCCTCTAAGAACTTTTCTTAATAAAGCTTACAAAACTTCTCAGCAAATAAATCTCCCTTAAGTAGGTGAAAAAAAATCTCGATTTCATATTTGCTTAGTTTGAATTAACAGCAATTTTCCATAGGTAGTCTACTCCTACAAAGATGTGAGCAGAATATTAAAAATATATATATTTTTATGTTTCTTGGTTCTAGAATAGAAGCCATAAAAGTGGTAAATACTGTTTGTTGTTTAACTCCTTCGATCTTTGTTTTTTACATTTTCAGCTTTATTAGGTTAAAAATAAAAAGGCAGCCTTGGAAGGCAGCTATGGAAAACTGCAGTTTGCATTAAAGATAAAAGTAGTATTTTCAGCTCCATGAAAAACCATTCCTGCTGAAACTGCTGTAGAAATTGTGAAGCTGCATGAGTGGAGAGTGTTGGTTCTATGATTGTGTAGTTTTCTCAGGTTTGTTTATCTTGATGTTCAATGCACTGTGTTTTATAAATAGTTATTAAAGTTGAGTATATTCATTTCTATGCAGTGTTATGTGTCATTGGCCTTTTGTGGATGTGCATGTTTTAAACTGCAAATTTTGAACATTTTGTCCACTAATTGTTATTAAAAATGAAATAAACTTTACCATTACATAAAGGAATTTGTTGAGGTTTTGATTGCTAGTTTTAGAAAACATTGCTTTATAAAAACCTTCAAATCCACAGTAACTATAGTCTGAGAAGGGGTACCCCTTTGATAGCTTTGTAGCAGTGATATACAAAATATCCCTTCATTTTAATCCAGCTAAATGAAATGCAAAATGGAGGCTGTTAACTCCAGTTTGGTAAGAGGGCTAGTTCTGATAATTAAGAAAGAAAAATTTTTATAAAGTTAGTGTATTTTGAGTCTTTAGTCAGAAAAGCCTCACAAGATTGTCTCTATTACATGTTTAAATCAGCTTGCAAGTAAACAACTCATTCATGTCTGTCCTTTTATGTTGGCTGAATTTGCTAGGTGTGCTGAAACAATTCACTTTTTTTTAATTGATGAGAAAGTGATCAAGTTTAGCCAATAACATTTCTAAAAAGTAATCAGAAAATAGTAAAATTGAACATATGATCCAAAAGTACAGGGAAATAACCAGAATTGAAAATAGCTTATCCAAAAGAGCATCCTTTAGTAAAAGCCAAGCCAATGAACAGTCAGTTTGGTAAATTGCTAGAAGAGGGTTAGTTCGCCAGTCTTGGAGGAACCTTTCGAGGAGCTTCTGATTTTATTAGACTGAAGCCACGTGTGTTCAGCTGTCTGGCGTCCCTTGCCCTCTCCCACAATCGCAGGGTCAATCGGGTCTGAATCTCCATGTGAAACCATAGCAAAACAATTTATGGAGAAATTACCTGTGAACTGTAGCATATGATTTTCACATTCAGTGCCATTCCTCTTAAAACAAGCACCATGTTTACACTGACCTAAGGTATCTTCTACTACTACCATAAGGAAACAGCAAATTTGAAATACAGTCCCATAAGTTGAGGACATTATCTCCATTTAAGTTTGTTTTGTATGCTTAAGGCCTCTCCATTTCAGTAATACACAACCAATCTCACTTTAATGAATAAAAATGTTTCTAACCTGGATAATTTCACAAGTAAGCTAATAAAATTTGTTGGAAAATATGGCACATTTTAACATTCAGTCTTTCTTTCAAAATAAAAACTACATAAAAACTATCCTAGCAATGGAAAAGAATTCTTTGCCAGAATAATTTCATTAATAATGAACATTTAATTGCAATTTTAGTTGTGTGCATATGAATATGTTAATAATTTGTTCCCTTGATAGCTTAACGTGCCTATAAATTCCTATTTCTCCTGAACGTATGCTAAATACACTTTTTAGATTGTGCAAAACTGAACCACTAATGGGCCAAATTCTTAGTCATGACTGCGTCCACTTTTCAGGAAATCTTTTTGTTAATCTAATTTTAGACAGAAAATTTCTTACAGATTTAAGTCAATCTGGAAAATTCACTACGATAAGTAGCTAATCAATATTCACACCAACAAAAGGAAAACAGATGGGAAAACTAAAAAGAAGCAATCCATTTAGACAAAAGTATCAATGGACTTTGGAATGAATAATAAAATTTGAAACATTTATTACATGAAGTATGTTTTCTAAGGCATACGAAAAAATTAATGTATAGATCTTGTGTAGTTTGGATCTTAAATGTCTCCCCAAAGCCCTTGTGTTAAAGGATTAGTCATCAGAGTTGTGCTACTGGGAAGTGGTAGGACATAAAGGATGTGGGGCCTAGTGAGGACCCTAGATCATTGGGAACATGTCTTCCAAGGGGATTGTGGGACTCCTCTCTTCCTCACTGTTCCCTGTCTCAAGATGTGAGCAGTTTTTCTGTGTCACATGTTCCTGCCAGGATGTGCTGCCTCGCCATAGACCCAAACCAATAAGATGGTGACTGGTCACAGCCCAGAACCTCCAAAACTGTAAGCTGAATAAATCTTTTCCCTTTGTTCAATTCTATCCCTGGGTTTTTGTTACAGTGAAAGAAAGCTGCTAACATAGACCAACATCTCTGTTGGATGGAAGAGTGCCCCACCCCAGGCAAAAAAAGGAATTTGGCCAATGGCTATCAAGGATTAAACATCAAACTGTAGGGCCATTTTCTCTTTTTCTGTCCCCTAAGCAACATGGTATCTAACCTCCTACAGTATTCAGCCTTTTTTGTTGTTGTTCTAGAGCATTACACCTGTTTTCTGTGATTTAACATTCACATCTTAGCTCCCTCCCGGCTAAAATGTAAATGTGATGTTGTATCTCAACTTCTTATCAAGAGAACCTTGAGCAAATAAGGTACTATTGATGTCTCTACAAAGGAGAAAATAAACTAAGTGAAGTTAAACTCCAATATATTTTCTGAAATGTAGTCTGGGTTATTTTTTCCTGAGAAAATTAGGCCTTTTAGGTCTAATACCTTAAAAAATACAGAGTTGCAAAGCAGACCTAGATTCAAATCTTGACTCAATTATAGTTTATTTATCCTTAGTCATAGTGGTTAATATCCCTGCCTGGATTTCTCTATTTACAAAACAGGCATGGCATAGTCCCTACTTCAGATTAGATTAAATGACACAACTCATAAAGCACTTAGGACTAATAAGTATAATCCAGTTATTGGCATAACTATCCTTTATAGAACAGAACTCTCTCTGATTTTCACAATAATTCTAGCTTGAGGATATTAAGACCCAAGTTCTTCGTGGTACTAATAAAAGCTTGAGTCAGGAAAGTTTCTGCTGAATTTTGTTGGTGTGGTACATAGTGGTGAGCATCTCCTTGGGAATTTCAGGTGACTTGATTTGATCCTTGCTGTCCAATCTTCCTAAATCGAGGATGTGATCAAGTCACTGTCCCCCATAAAATCCTCTAAGGCTCCCATTTGGTATATATCCAACCTACATGGTGTTCAGGAGCTCCAATCTGCCCCTGCTTCTCTCTCCACCCCATTCTTCTTCTGAGTTCTCTGTCTGGTTTCCAGAATGTTCCTCCTTTCACACTCATGGATGCATCTTGCCTAATATGCTGTTCCTCTTACTCCCACCACTCCTTTCCTCTCTCCACGCAGTTTTCATTCCAATCCCACACATCTCTCAATGCTCAGGTCTCATAGCACCTCCAGAATAAGACAGTGCTCTTTGTGCCGCCAGGAAGTGTGATGTTTTGTGGGTTACAGCCTGTGAGCTTCCCAACAGCAGGAAGATAACAGGATAACATAATGTAACAATAATATAGTACAGCCCAAGTATTTGTTGTCATGCCTGAACCCATAGTAGATAGTGGCTTAAATCAGAACTGCATTTTATAGGACCTCTCTCACAAGGTCTGAGTCATAGGTGAGGAATGGGAACCAAAGTCTTATTGAATGGGACAGTGTCTACAAATCTGCCATAGGCTGACTTTATTACCCTAAGATCATGAGTACTAACATTACCAGCTACGGAGCTTCAGCTTCCAGAGGGAAGACATGTACAAAGACATATACTGTATATCACCAAGTATATGGGGATCTGATTTGATTAGTTGTCTCCGAATGCATAATTTTAAACAAATTATGGCTAGTTAACTTGATCAACTGGGGCATCCTGCTAAGGCAAGGAAATCTGCAGATGTGAGCTTTCTGAGTCCCTTAGCACTGGTCTGCCTAATGGACATAAACTCTTCTCTACAGGAATGGCAAATAAAATTGTTCTTTCTGGGGAGGAGGAGGTTGCACCCTCTAGAGGACATGATGGAATCGCATAAGGGCATCCTGGTGTTAGAATGTTTGGGGGGAAAGTGAGTGTGTTATCGGCATTCATCATGAAGGACCTGATTATAACAGAGACACTGCAAGGCATGGGAGAGTCTATATAACAAAGATTTATTGTCCATGAGCACGACTTTAGGATGTCCCAGCATCCCCATCAGTGGAAAACTCTATAAGAAAGTCTCTTAGTTTACCTTGAATTTTCCAGATACACAACCATGGTGCAAAGGAAAACCAAACTTTGCTTTTTTTGCAAAATTTACATTAACAGCAGCAATGCAACTGTATTTGAGTTGCCTTAGTATGAAATCGGAGATGTCAGAAGGAGTTAGTGTCTGAGCCCTTTGTTAAGTCTGCCCACACCGCTGGTTACTCTTTGTAATAACTTACCTTCTTTTTCTTTCTCCTATTTACCATTAGAATATTGCATTGATTTTTTTGTAATTATGGGTATCATGAGTTATATTAGCTATCATTTTTGGATAGTTATCTCAACATATTTGTTCTGAATAAAGCTCACTGAGTCCAACAGAGCTGAGAATCATCACCCTTTTTAGAAAGTGGGCATTGTACTTTTAAAATCTCCAGTGGGTTTTTTTACCCAGAGACATGAAAATCTCATAGTAGTTGCTTCCCTGGTGTTTGTATCTGCTTTTACATACCAGTGCCATTACTGACCAGCTGTGGATCTTGAAGAAGTTCCTGCACTCCTCTGTGCCTCCAGCACCAAATCTGTGTAACAGGACTTACACTACCTCCCCGTTTGGAGGATGGCGTGAGTGAACACATGTACTTAGCAGGGTGCTTGGAGAATAATAAGACCTCGTAAAGGATAGCTTAAAACTACAGAAGGGACAGTATCTAGCATGTGAAAAAAAAGTCTAGTGATATGAGTGTGTCCTAGAACATGCTCACAAATGTTTAACTTCTTACATTCAGCTGTTTTATTTTCTAAAATCTTGAGATACGTGAAGTCAAGCCATTTTCAGACACGGAAGAAAGAAGGAAACTAAAACTCATTGTCCCCCTCCCTGCCTCTGGACTGGCCAAACGGATGTCTTTGACCTGTTGTCCCCAGCTGCATGCAAACAGGCAGGGCTAATCAATCCCAGAGTTGTAACTAACTCTGAGAACCACCAGAGTTCTAACTCTGACTAGTTTTGAAAAGGACTACTAAGGGTGACATGGCAAAAGTCAGTTCACATGAACTGGACTCCAAAACAGCACCCTCCACGTTAGGAAATACAACTGAAGGAGACAGGCCAAGGTGGGGAGGCCTGGCAGGAGACCAGCACACGGCAGGTGTCCTGTCTTGGCCTGACCACTTGACAGAGTAGGACCCACAGTACTGCATCTTCTGTGTGTCCCTAGTAGCAGAAATCCAGGTTCTTCTGTGAAGTATCCAGATACTGAAACTCTACAAGCCCAGTGACACATCTGAGAACTGCACGCAGCCCACAGTCTGAAATGTCTATCACAGTTTACGTCCTTCACTGCTTTCACAAGCCCCGATGCAGAGAATATTTCTTTTACTTTCAAAATATATGGTAAGTAAAGACATTTCCTTTTATTGACTAGCACTAAGGGGATAAAGTAAAGTACTCTGATTTAAAATTTCAAATAGAATTCATGAAAATTATTTTATTTATTCTAACCCAGCAGGTTATATGCCCAAATATGTAATCATTAGACATGGAACTCAGAGGCATTTGAGACATGTGATATTAAATGATTACACCAATAGCTTTACTTTAAATTCCAGAGTTATTAACATAAAAATCACAGTGTGACTACTAAATATTTAGTATCGTCAATGTGGTAAGTACATTAAATTACAGTTCTTTACATTTATACATAACTCATTTTACAAATAAATGTTTTAAGACCCAATTGTCCAACTTTCATTTAAACACTAAATGTTGCTGAACAAAAGTCTGTAATAAATATTCCCTCTGGTGTGTAGGGAAAGTGATTTCACATAGAACCTCTGTTACAATGAATGTCTAAGTGCATATTTAAAACTTTAAATCCATATGGTTACTGAAATCTTGTATTATGACAAAACTCTCACATTTTAAACAAAATTTAGTTATTAATTTAAAAAGTAAATGTTCTCACCGTGCTAATATTATTCATGGTTAGATTACTCCCAAAGTTATAAATAGGTGGTTCCCTGTCCCCTCAAGTTTACTTAATAGTTAATTTTTAAGTGAAACTTTGATAATCACAATTAGGTATTTACTTATATATTTGTATGTAACTTGATAAACACATAAAAAGGAACATGTATTTCTCTTCTAGGCAGTGTAGCTGAATTTTCGGCCAGACTGCAACTTTAAAGTCAAACTGTTGTGCATTTTTCATAAAAATAGCATAAACTGAAATGGAATGGTCACGATGCTTGTAAAGCCAAACCTTCTGTGACTAGAGCTAAGACCCTAAGACTAGAAGGCACTGTATCTTCCTAGCACTTTCTTCCATGACGAGGAGTGGTTACAGGGGAGCTCTCAGTGTGGCAACGGCTACAGTGCTCCATCTGTCTGCCACTGACTACACACAGTAGCTTCATGGCCATGTGCGGTCAGGTGGAAGTGAAGTCTGGACAGCTCTTCCCAGGTAGCGGGGGCTCCTGCTGGAGAGGGTAAGCAAAATACTGGGGTGACACAAGGAAACCGGACGGCTGGGTCAGGTGGATTGGGTGGCTTGTGGTATAAGGAGGGGGTGGTGAGGGTACCAGACAGCCTGGCTCAGCCCTGGCAAAAGAGAACCTGCGGATGGAACCACCTGTGGAGCTGGAGCTGGTGGCTGTGCTGGACTGCCGGGAAGGTGCCCTGAGGTTCGTGGAGGTCAAGATCATGGGCAAGGTCTCCGTCTGATAGCTGCGGAGCGAGAAGCGGATTGGCTGCTGCGAGGGCTCCTTGGGTCTCAGACAGGTACAACAATAAATAGCCACTAAAGAGCCCAAGATGATGAATGCAATGAAGATGGAGCCGACGATCAGGAAGGGAACGTAGACAGGCTCTACAAGACAAGAACAGAACACACACATACACACGCTCAGGAGAAGGGCTCCCAAACTTTGAGCTTTGCTTGGGAAGTTTAGGGGGCGGCAAGTGAAAAGTACAATATTAGCACTATTGTCAGCTGTAACTTTTCAAAGCTTGTTACTGGTAACTTCCCAAATGCAAAGTGTGAGGAGGAAATGTTCTTTCTACTCCTAGCAGGGAGGAAGCAAACTGATACTACAGGCTCTGTTAACAATTAGCCATCGTATTGCACATCTGGAAGTCAGAAAAAAACAGAATCCACCCTCCTGTTCATGCACTGGAGGGAAAGTGTGAGTTACTATAACTCTAGGTTTAAATCCAGGTTTTAGTAGTTTTGTCACGGTGAGGCACTTAGGGCTTTGACCTGTCTCTTAGACTGACAATCCATATCCTGCTCAGGGATCTCCAGTCTAAGCAAAGAGAATAAGGTTTATTAAACGAGATCTGCAGGACTTTATGAGACTCCAGAAAGAACAGTTTAAATAAATCCATAGTGAGCCCCACTCTACCATGTCTCCTACTCTAGCACAAACTATCAGCTCTTACTGGTTCTTTGCAGAAACAATTTGGGATGTTGACTCCAGGGGCCACACTTCTGTCTCCATTCCCACCCAAGGTCTGGGAAAGTCGGCTGAACTTGAGATGGACCATGATGAAGTTCTTAGTGCTGGCAGCTCAGACTTTACATATGAGTATCCCTCAGACAGGACAAACTCATTTCCTTCTCTCTCCACAAGGCAGATACTGTATAAAATCTCCCACCCCAGAAGCATCCTGGGCATTTCTCCATTTCTCTCCCCTGTCTGATAGTACCATGCTGGGATGTAGCCTGCAGTTTAGAGGTAGAAGACAGAAAATCTGCAGTAGCTACAGCCCTACTGTGTGCTGACTTTTCCTTTATCTGAGTCAAGTCTCCACGGAAGCCCTGTGAAATGAGCAAGATCTCTCTTCTACATGTAGAAATCTACCAGTGTTTGTCACTTTCACAAATACACAGCCAGTGAATGACAGGTAACTCTCACCAACTGTGTGCTGCCGAGTATAAGCTCGTGAGTAGCGCCCCCCCCACCCCCCCCCCCCCGCCACTGTCCATGTAAATAGCACCAGGTGAACTTACTGGGCACTGAGCTAAGCCTCATACACTCATTTAATCTACAAATCAACTACTCTGAGAGCAGTGTGTCCACTTTAAAATTGAGAAGCTGCCAGAACAGCTAAGTAACTTGCTCGAGGTTCCACTGCTGGTAAATGACAGAGCCACTGTCCAGGATTTGCCTGATCCCAGACTTTGGGCGTTGGGAGACTGACTGCCCCTCTAGCTTGCTGTCCTCTGGCACCAGAGAAGCCAGGACGTCCTGCCAGAGACTCAGCGATTAGCTCTGTGCTCAGAGGAACCGAGTCCTCAGGGTCAGGGGAGGGAAGCCATAGGGGGAAGAGTGTTTTGCCACACAGGCCAAGGATAGCCTAAGGTTTCCTACTTTGCACTGCAATCTTTTCTCACTTCCCAAGTCTTCTAGATTGGACATTTTGAACCCCAAAATTAAATCCCAAGAGGGTCTAATGGAGGGCTAAAGAAGCGCAGACTTCCTTTTCCCTGGGTTATCAGTTTGAGGGGAAGGGGCTTCCAGCAAGGTTAACGATCTCTCCAGCCTCTCCCGGAGACCTCCTTTGCCTGCTGCGCGCCTCAGAGTCCTGGGGAGTCACTGGTTCTCCGCTCCGCCTGCTTCTCCGGTTTCCCGGCCATAAAACCAGCGCCTCCAGCTCTAAAAGGTTTCCCTGATGTTCCGATTAAGGTGGAAAACTTTTTTCAAGGTGTAAATTTCCTCTGCTGGGGTCATGATTTATTCGGCTCTGAAGGGAGCGGAAATTTGACCCGTGTTTTCCGACGTGAGAATAGGGGGGCGGGGAAGCCCCTACGACCCTAGTTTCTAAATCTCCACCTAGCAGACCTGGGTATTTCTGAAAGGCCTGACAATAGCGGGTGGGCCTCAGAGGGTAATTTGATGCAGAGAAATGAAAGGAAGTCGGGAGAAAGAGACAGCGGCTTTGAAATGCCACCAAGGGATGGGGGGTGAGAGAAAGAGAGAGAGAGAGAGGGAGAGAAACACGCGGCTCAAGTTCCGTGACCCTGTAAGGCTACAAATGACCGTTGGACAAGAGTCATGTTCCTTCCCCATCGTCCCTCCCCAAGTGACCAAGGAGCGCAATAAGGGGCCGGCCACCCCTAAAAACCCTAAGCCTAGGTTGGTGCTCCCCAGATGACCCTTCTCTCGGAGCTCCAGTTCTTTTCCCCAGAGCCACCAGGTGCAAGCCCCGCTGTCTTCGTTTTCCCTGCAAACTTTGCCCGGGACAGACCCTTAGGGAACGCATGTAGCAGGGAGCCAGACTGCTAGGGAATAGGGCCCCCAAACCCACAACGCACCCATCTTCCCTTGATCCCCTACACAGCTGGGTGCACTGTGGGCGCAGACCCAGGGAGGCCTGCCGCGCCCTTCCGCGCGCAAGCAAGCTTGCGGGACGCACGAGGGCCTGGCCTCCCAAGACCCCGCGCTTACGTGCAGTGATGCCGGGGTGCTCCAGCTCGCCGCGGTCGTTCGTGCAGCCTCCCTGCTCCAGCCTGGCGTCGGCCGCAGCGCAGCAGTAGCGGAGCGCGCAGGAACCGCAGCAGATGGTGGCGTCCAGCGTATCGAAGTCCTCTGGGCACTGGAAACCCTCATGGTAGTTGCCCTGCACGTCCACCCAGCCGTGGCAGTACTCGCCGGGCTGCTGGGCGACCGCCGGGTCCCAGCGCAGCCAGCCCAGGAGGAGACAGAGCGCCAGCAGCGCCCCCATCGCCGCTGCGCGCGCTGGGCGGCCAGAGGGACGCGCGGCCGGGCTCCGGGAGGGACTCGCGGCTGGGGCTCAGGGCGCACCACGGTTCCGCCTTCCCCGGGGCTCGGCGCCCGCTTGGCGTGGGTTAGCAGGGGCCGGGGAGGCAGCGGGGGCTGCGCCGCGGGCTGTGCAGGCCAGAGGTCAGCATGGTGCTCGGGGCCGAGGGGCGGAAGCCCGCGGAAGGAGCCAGCTAGGACCGCTGCTGCCGCCCTCTGCCCGGCTCATTGCGCTCCGGGCGCGAGGGGACCGTCAAGTCCCCGGCCACCTCCCTCCCCACGCCTCACGGGAGCCATCGCGCCCGGGGCGGCCACATCCAGGAGCGTGCAGGGTCCTGACTTGTGGCTGTGGCCGGTGCGAGCGGAGCCCAAAGGAAAGAGAAGTGGTTCCCACGTGCAGGACCCCCGCCCCTGTCTGTCACGCGAGCAGGAGACGCTCCCGCGGCGGCCAAGTGCAAACCGCGCCGGGTTGCTGACAGGTCTGCCTGCCGCGTCCTTTAAAAAGGAAGAGGGAGGAGGCGACCGCGAGGGTGAAGAAAGAGTCCGCCCTCCCGGGTCGCGCCGCGGGAGCTAATCACGGCGGCGCGGGGGTGCGCGTCCTGCCGCTCGGCTC